GAAGGAGAGAGAGGGGAGTGAAGGAGAGAGAGAGAGCGGGATAGGGGGCAGTGAGTGAGTTAGACAGGGGAAAGAGAGGGAGAAGGAGAGAGAGGGGAGTGAAGGAGAGAGAGAGAGCGGGATAGGGGGCAGTGAGTGAGTTAGACAGGGGAAAGAGAGTGAGAGGGAGAGCAAACTGGTAGAGGACAGAGACGGAAGTGCGGGGGGGTGGGGGGTGCGGACTCACCTTTAAGAGGATGATGGCGATCTCCGAGTACTTCATCCCGTTCACCAGAATGGGGATCAGCCTGCACAGGCAAGGGGGATGATCAGTGGAGATGGGGGTACATAGCCAGAGGCTGCTAACCGTAAAGGGGGGGGGGACTCACTGGAGGAGGTGGCTGGACAGCACCTCCTTGCAGATGGGCTGCTCCGCCAGGGTGAGCCAGAACTCGCAGGCTTCCAGGGCCACGTTCTCATCCGGGTCCTGCGTGCGCTGCAGCATGTACTGGGGGGAGGGGGGGGGGTTAATGGATGGGCTGCACAGGATTGGCTGGGGGCTCTGACTGACGGCACGACGGGCCTATGGCGGAGCCCCACCTGTACGATGCTGTGCATGTGGGGGATAAGTCTGTCGATGCGGACCTCCAGCAGCATCACCAGGGCTCGGCACACGTTCTTCCTCACCTCGGAGTCCTCGTCTGCTGCCAGAGCAAACAGGCTCTGCGGGGCAAGGTGGGGTTAGGGTCACATGGGCAGGGCTGGGTCAACCCAATCCGGGGCGGGGGTGTAGGGGGTGTCCCACCTCAATAAAAGTGTCGATGTTGTCCATCAGTGCCTGAGCTCGGCTGATGATGAACTGGTTCACGCAGGCGATGGCGTGGGACCTGGACGTGCAGAGTTCGCACATTTGCGAAATGCAGTGACACAAGAATCCCTTTGGAACTCTGACAGACATCACACCCTGTCTAATAACACGAGTCTGCACTGTACTTTGTTTTATCAGATTTATAACTTGCATCTTGCTTTGGTGAAAACCGAAATTCTGTGCACACCGATAAAACGGCTCGCAGAAGTGTCACCCTCTGGAAGGTGTGGCGGGGTGGGGGCTCACCTGATCTTGGGGCTACAATGTTTGAAGAACTGCAGGAACTTGGGGATCATGATGTTTAAGGGTCGGTCCAGGGCTTCACTGTCCAGCAGCTCCGAAGAGTCCTCACAGATTTTCTGCAGGGCACCGAACGAGCCCTGGGAGGGGCCAGACAAAGGGAATCAATGGCAGAAAGGTCCATAACAAGCGCTGGGAGGGGCCAGACAAAGGGAATCAATGGCAGAAAGGTGCATAACAAGCTCTGGGAGGGGCCAGACAAAGGGAATCAATGGCAGAAAGGTGCATAACAAGCTCTGGGAGGGGCCAGACAAAGGGAATCAATGGCAGAAAGGTCCATAACAAGCTCTGGGAGGGGCCAGACAAAGGGAATCAATGGCAGAAAGGTCCATAACAAGCTCTGGGAGGGGGCAGACAAAGGGAATGAATGGCAGAAAGGTCCATAACAAGCTCTGGATCAGACAGTACCAATTCATCTAGTATTACAGACCACCTGGTCCATCGCATCTAGGAACAGGCCGAGCAAACAGAGGGACTGACCTCACACGTATTGTAGTCCTCAGAGTTAAGCAGGTTACACAGCTGTGGGAGAAGCTCAGGCCACATCTGAAGCTCCCCCTTGGAGGCGATGGTCGTGATGAGGATCCCTGGGGGGGGGGGGCAGAGGTAGCAGATGGTAGATTCTGAAAGATCTGCAGAGGCAGGTGAACTTGACAGAGGATATGTGTGGAGTCTCTGGATCAGGCAGTATGAATACAAACACCATCATTGCCCATCAGCAGGAACAGAGCACATCACCTCCAGAGACGAGGGGCCAGGGGAGTACGGGAGGCGAGGATGGGGGGGCACTGCTCAAACACGAGCGATGCCACAAGCTGTTTATCGACCACTATACAGAGCGTTCCACAAGGAACGACGTTAAGCAGTTTCCAGTTTATTATTCAGAAAAATGCTGATTTTGCCGGTGTGGAAAACGAGAGATGGGCACCCCCCCGTCACACCCTCCCCAACGGGCGCCCCCCCCGGCACGCCCTCACCGATGGTGGCCCGGATGAGGGGCGAAGAGTCCCCGATGTTGTTCAGGCACTCCTGCTTGATGAAGTCAGCCACGGCCTGCGGAAGGTTCTGGTAGTGGGCCTTTACGTTGTTCTTCAGGATCAGGCCGCTGAGTGGGCTCATCTGGGGGGGGGGGGGGGGTGAAAGGATGCCAGAGACGCAGCGGGTGCTGAAACTTTAGACGGCCATTGTTAGAGCAAAAGCCACAAGGAGCTTCACAGGATGGAAATAAAACCAGATCACTAATGCCGCAATTGAGAGCCCAGGACTTCCTCTTATACGTTACTTCAGGAACATACACAGAGCTTTAAGACGGAAGACTCTGGAATGAGCCAGGGAGCGCTGTTCAAAATGCTGGAACTTACTAATGGAGACATCTTAGCACCTCGAGTGTATTTTCGCTTCTGCACATGCGAAGCTAATGGGCACCGTTCCCACGTCCTCTCTCCAAGCTAACAGGACAGCGCAAAATTGTACTGGTTTTCTCCTTGTAAAACAGCCACTGATGATCTGCCTGCACACTCCACGCTTTAACCTGACACCTTCTACCACAGCGGTCAGTGGCCGTGCAGAATGAGGTCAACACGGCTCACCAAAATGGTCAATGGGAAAAAAGTTGATTGTGGCTTTCCTACAACAATCTGTCAGACAAACATGTCAATTCTCCTTAACTCTTCTCCAGGCAACAATAATACCAAGATATTCTGTACACATTTGGCATGGGTGAAACATACCAATGAAACATTTTGGTATAGATAATTCCATCTTATACACAATATACGGTCACCATATTTGTTCATGAACCTTTGCATCTTCTGAACTATTTGTTGAAATAAAAGCATCAAAGTATTTTATTATTTTTTTTTTTCTAAGAAAGGGACTGCTTTATCTTAGCAAGTATGCATTGCAAACACCATCATTCAGTTGGTCACAAGTCACCTGTTCCACGCCACAAGCCAATCAAACACAATAATTTTATGTTGTTGTACATCCATACCTTCAGATTTCAGGCTTGTTAGGACAAATATGAGATAATTATTAAAGTCAGGATACTGGTTCAGCTGCTCCAGTTTCTGGAAATATCATTAAGGACAAAAAAGGGGGAGGAAGAAAAACAGGCAACAAAACAGCACCCCCAGCCCCCAGCCCCCCCCCCCCACCCCCTGACTCCAGCAGACTGACACTTAAAGACCAGCTCATTCCAAGACAGAACAGCATTCGGGATGCAGCCTTGGAGAGAGAAGGGAGCAAAAATGTGCCGAGTCTGGAACAGCAGCGAGCGAGACCAAAGCTGTGGTCAGATTACTGGCGTTAAGGCTCAGCAAAGCAGACCCTTCAGTGTCGAGTAACTAGATCACAGCTGATGCACTTAAACTCTCACGGAAGCTTAACAAAGGGTCATGGAGCTCTGTTATGGAAAACAAAAAAATCAGCCCCTCTTGGTCATCTCCCACAGCCTCCGCTCCAGCTGCACCAGCCGCAGCCGCATGCCTCCTGTGAGCGATGGAGAGGATACTTCCTGCACAGCCCTCTGCGTTGC